TACAATGGTCGCAGTCTTAGAATCGTAGAGTCATGGATTGAGTCGTATCGATGTATAACTGAAACCGATTTTCTGTTTTTGACAGAAAATCGGTTTCAGTTATACATCGATACGATTCAATCCATGACTCTACGATTCTAAGACTGCGACCATTGTAGACAGAACCGAGAATCATTGTAGCGGAGGCTTTAATGCGTGGTCTACAATACGAGTCGCAGAGTCGTAGTCGTAAGAATAATCGACTGCGATTGGTCAATTTCGTCAGACACATAAGAATTGACCAATCATAGTCGACTATTCTTACGACTACGACTTTACGACGTCTATGTAGACGAGGCTTTAGTCGTAGCGAGATCGCGACGATTTCTTCGGGACGAGTGCGCCACGAAAGCAACGTTTTCTCCGTATGCGAGTGGCAGACAAAGGAAGAGGGCAATCTTCAAGTTTCAAGAATACGAATGTATAATTATTTTCAGTCGGATCAGAATGTTATCCTCAAATTCGAATAATAAAAGCTTCGCGACGCAACTAATTCACCGACAACTTTACGTCAAACATGTATCGATAAAATCGAAGGATCGATCAACTGCGCAATTGATACAAAAGGTTTGTTTTCTGTTCCTGCACTGGTCAACTAGTGCAGCCAAGCTAGGCCGAGAAAACATATACTTGTCTTACTCTAATTTATTGCACTAGTTACTTAGACTTAAAAGTAGGAGTAAGACAGTTATTTAGACTTAAAGTAAGGAATTCGACTTATTGGCGTCCAATTGCGTACAATCTTCAAGCGCTCTTTCTTTTCCTCCCCTTCTTCCTTGGACTTCCGGGAATGTTCTCGAAACGTTTTCTCGAATCAAGTCCACGAACAAAGACCTATATCTCTAATGTACGTGCCCTTCGCGTCTGGAGACACTTTGTAGCCAATAAAATACGTTCCAAAAATTTGGGCGAGTTGATAAATCGCGCATTACACGTCGCACAGTCGTGCGTCGTCGACCAAGGTTTTTTTTAAGCGCTTTCATTCGCCTATGCAAAACCAGACGTTTCTAGACGCAAGGAGCGCACGCCGTAGATCGGGCGTAAAGGCGAAGCGCGCAAATAATGGCGAAGTAAAGCGCGAAGACGAGGGGGGAAAAAAAAGGAGCGAGAGGGAGAAACGAGGGGCCTTGGGCGCGCTATCGGCGCGAGATAATTGCATCCTTGCGCCGCCGCCGCATTAGACAACTTCGGTCAAGAATGACGGGTATATCGCGATCACGTGGAGAAACGCGTACAAGTGTGACAAGCGGGGCGACGCGGGCGGCGGGAGGGAAGTAGCGGAGGGGGGGAGGGGCGGAAAGCGACCGAAAGAACCGAGCGGCGACGGAGAGGGGCAGCTGAACGTATATAATCTTACGCTGGCGTCCCACCTCTCAGTTCTACTTGGAGTTCGGACACGTGAGTTTCCGAATAAAGCTCGCGCGGAGGGAAAGTTTTTGTTTGTTTGGTGCGCTCGTTGTATGGGTAAGTGCCGAGGCGTCGCGCGATCGCGACGGCCAGGATCTCGGGGGGGGGGGGGGATCCGATCGATCGGTCAATCCTTCGGCGTTGTCGATTTTCCGGAGACCTCTAGGCCCTTTTTACCCGTCGCGCCCTGTGTCGTACACGCTCGCGCCCGCGGAAAATCGCGCCCCCCCGTCCTTCCGCGAAAAAAAATCTCGCACGCCATTTTCCCCCTCGCCGCGAAATCGTCATCGTGCCTCCCCCTCGTGAGTCATCGATGACTCTCGTCACGTTCACGCCGCGTAACGACGGCGAGTAACGGCCCGCGCGCGGCGAGTGTGAATAACGAGACGATTGTCCACGGCTTTCCCACCTCTCCCCCGCTGCTTGAAAGGGGGAGAATGCCGCCTGAATTCCGACGGCCCCTCGCGTTTCCGTCGCTCGGCCCTCGGACACGGCTCGACCCATAGATCTCGTCCCCCTCGGGAGAAAGAGGGGGGGAGAAGGAGAGAGAGAGAGAGAGCCCGCATGGGAGCCTTTCCGCGGCGGAAATCCCGCGGAGGAGGAACGTAACGGGTGTTCCCCCTCTCTTTCTCTCTCTCGCTCTCGCCTCCGCTCGAGAAATTTGCAGCGCGAGCGGATCCCGTGTCGCAGCGAAGGTCGCCGCGGGAGCAGACACGTGGCACGCGCTACGTATCTATTTGTTCGTGGTGTATTGATTCCGCCACGCGCGCGTCCCCCGAGCGTACACACCGCCATGTTGGACACCGAGCCGACGACAAATCCGCTCCGCTTCTCCGGACTCATGTCGCAGATCTTGTCTTACGGCACCGTGCTGATCCGTGTGCTCAAATAGCAGTGGACTTACGGTAATTCGCGGGCGAGCGTTTTCTCTCGCCGCGCGGCCGCCGCGGCCGCGACGTCCCGTCGCGCCGTAGCGTTTCGCGTCGCGGTCGGAGGCTCCGATCGCGCCCCGGGGAGTATCGGCCTACGGAACGGAGACGCGGGATCGTCGCCGCGATCCGGAGAGACGCCCTCGCGACCTCGCCGCCGAGTCGCCCCGTCGGACCCTCCGCGGCACGAGGCTCCTTCCATCGCGCTCTCCGGACGCGAGGAAACGTGTACGGCGATGGACAGAATGGTCGCGACGCTGTTCTTTTTGAGATGAGTTTGGAAACGTGAGGAAGACACCTTCCAGAATCTTCTCCGAGAGACTCGACGGCTGTTCCGAAGCCATTTTGAGCGTTTGGGATCTGTTGCTCGAGTACCTAAGCTCGTTGAAGGAAGGGTGTTGCGACCATATTCTGTCCAGCACTGTACAGAGACGCCGTCGCAACGCGACGCGATGGCCAGAGCGCCTCCTCCCTTCGGTTTCGCTTTGAGCGCGGAAGATCGCGAGTGACCTGGCCGAGACGCGGTGGTGCATCGCAATCCGTCGTGGAAGAGTAACGCGCGCGATAATCGCAGTCAGTTTACCCCCGATTTTCACCCACATCGTTCAACTTTGATCTCATTACTAAACCGAGACATCCGGTACTTGTAATTAAAATTGGTAATGTTACATTGCCATGCGCAAAAAAACGCGTTTGACTCTCGTAGCCTTTAGTGTTTAATTTCCAGAGTCCATTGTCTATTTGTTGACTTTGTTAGTTCGAGTCACCCTTTGTCTCTCTCCAAAGGGGATAGCTGGAAAGAGACAAGGGACGAATTAAACTAGGATCAAAGCTAAACGACGTTGGCGAGACAGTCCCTTTCTCTCTCTCTCGGTGGAGAATAAGAGATCGGCATCCCTCGGAGTAAAATGACAAGCTCACGCGGCTTCAGGCAGCGAGTCCCGAACCTAGTAATAAGACACGTTTTTGTATGTTGAAATGCAGAGCGAGAGAAGAGTATAAAACACGGAGAGAGCCCTGTAGAGCCAATAAGCAGCTGCAGGGACGAGCATGGCTTTGTGCCAACGGTTGGCCGCTGGGGCAGCGAATGGCCGAGTTGACTCGAGACGGCGGAGATATGGTGCCAGCCACAGGGGCAGGCACGCGGGCCCTGGATCAGGGGTGTTCCGCTACCCCTGCCGGTATGGGCCCATTACGAGTCACCAGCCCTGACCGTCTCCACGGTCGAACAGTATGAGGAATTAGCAGGCAGCGTTGAGCTTGAAACGCAACGCTTATTGCGCGAGCATCGCTACGACACTATTGGCAATTTCCTCAGGTATACGCGATAATCTATTATCCCGCCGTTTCGTTATTCTGTACCTTGTAACGTTTGTATCCGTTTGCGCGCAGGTTCTACAAGGACTACACTGCAAGTGGAGAGAGTGCGCTGGATCGATTCTACCGGAAATATCAGCCACTGATAACACACGAACATCATACTTGCGTCGGTCTTGGATTTGAATTATTACATCGATTGACAGGATTGAACAAGCGATTCCCAGGAATAGCAAGTGGCCTCTACTTAGTATCTTGCGAAGAGGTGAGTCTGAAGTCAAATACGTATACTACTCGCTTTGTTCTACGACGGTGTGTTAACAATCGGATCTGCCAAGAGAAAAAGTGGGCGCAAAACAATGTTAACAGATAGGGACCGCCGAATTTTAAAAAGGATTGTGGCCTAGCAACATACAGCTACCGCAGCAAACAGCAGAACTGAACAGTCACCTAAACCATCCTGTTTCAACAAAAACACATTCACACGTTCTCATTGTTTTGTCCACCCCTGTACATTGCTGTCGTTTTTACTAAAATACACCACCCAATACCCGGTGTCGCCCATTTCACTTTTGATTATTGTACAAAGCTTTATTTATTAACAGTAATAAGTGAAAGTAATAAATACACGTTGAGTTCGAAATTGCAATTTTGTCTATTAAACGTCGTAGCGTATGACGTTCGATAGCTGTAGGAAAAACGAGTCTTTGTCGGCGGATATTTGATACGGCCAAGTTGCTAACAGTACCTTATGAGAGAAATGTTTTGTTTGCAGACGATTGGTGATATCGCCGGCTATGTTGGCGGTCCACCGGCGGCGGACAGCGGCGAAAAGGAGCATGTTTTAGTGTGCCTGAAAATCGAGATTGGCGGACGCCGCGGCGTCATGCTGCTCGATCCCGGTTACCACGTAGCGCGCGTTATCACTGTGATGGCCGATAAATTATACCCTCACACGGGCTGGTTCACGCAATCTGACGAGCCGACCTGTAAGAAAGAGTACAACTACTGTCTGTGCGCCGACGATCCCGATTATGTCGAGTGGCACGAGAGGAAAACCCGACCTGGTGCCTTGGAGAGGACGCAAGTCGCTCTCATTTATGTGGCAAGGCCATATTTAACTGCCATTGACGTTACGGAACGTAGAAACTTGGTTTATAATCAGAGAAGTCTCCTCGCCAGAGATACTAAGGGTCACGTCACCGCCGGCATATATTTCCCCGTCGTCCTAGACGTGAACAGGGCGCAGACCTTCACGATTTTCTACCAGACCGGCAACGGGAAGAGGCGAGTCAAAATGGAATTCAGCAAGTTCTATGGTTCGCGCAAGGTACAGCTCTTGATATTAATCTCGAGATTGATCGAGAAATACTTTCGGGCACGTGACTTGAAATTTACAGCGGGAACGCCCTTTCTTTTCAGATGAGTCCTGAAACCGAGGAAATGGAGATGATAGCGGAATGTGCTCGACAACTCAATATTTCGCAGGATATCTTGGAGGATACGCTCTCTGCTCTGGCCACTATCATGAACGATTCGTCATTCGTGGCGCAGCTGTTGGCTATCAACGCGAGAATTAACACCTTGGCAGAGGACAATTAACGAACACAAGTCACTCCAATCAATGGAGCGTCGACACAACGTTACGTTTTGTTACTTCTTTTGCCCGCTTTCCTCTTACGTTCTTTCCCTTTCTCTCGTAGCTTATTCGTTCTTTTATTTGTTATAGTTACGCTTTGTTACAGCGCTTGTATATTTGCATATATACGAGACGAGTCATGTAACTTTGCAAACTCTTCGCTCATCTTGAAACTTTTATATGCTGAATGATAAATCGATCATTGCAAAGGAAATCCTTTAAGTTGACTCAATCTGTTGCAGAAGTATGACGCTACGATGCATACTTCTTCGCAAAGATAGTTTATTATTCTGCGTATAAAAGGATAAACATCAATCTTAAACAAATATGATTCACTCAAAAAATGCATGATTCAGCTTTTATGACAAAGCGTTGCTTTTCTTATCACAAGATTCATAAAACATTTCGACAATTCTAGTATTGTTTTGCGCATGCAATTCAATGAAAACATTAACAGATGCGATCGAGTGACGTAATTCAAAATATATACGATTTTAAGTCTGATGATTTTATACATTAGCTTTCTATCTAGAACGCAACGCGAGGCTGGTGATCATTTTATTCTTGTAACTAAAAGGTTCTTAAACGTTTTGCTTTTCTCTTTTATATTTTACTCTTGGACATGTAAGCTTTTGGGTTCTATGGTAATATAATAGATCGGTGTGGTAATATTTTCATTGAAGGATATTGGCACTAACGCAGTTAATAGATTACCATTTATGTAGAAAGAACTGCACTAAAATTACATTGGTACAAGGGATACTTTTGTTCTGTCGCGTGCGCGCTTCCACGTTGCACGTCGTTACTTCTTTAGAATAACGTAATGCGTATACCTTTCAATTGTAAACACTAAATTTGATTTTATTTGAATAAATTGTTTGACGGACAAGATACTGTTGTTTCCATCGATAATACCTCACCTTTTGGCTCAATAAAAACACCTTGCAAACCTCCATCATCGATACGTGGGTTCTGAGAATTGATCAAACAGAACATCCAAAGTCAAACTGTAAGATGCATTTGAAACAAGAAATTTATTTGTATTTCCCTTTACACTTTCCAACATATTTAATCCTTACAATAATGAAACTAGCAAAACCGATCAACTATCGATGAATGCGATATCTGTGATTACATAATAATAAATATAGTATTTTAAGAGGCAGAATACATATGAAAGTAACGTATCAAAAATTGTTGCCTTGGTTGATTAACGGCAAAGGTTCGACCTGTATGTAATATTAAAAAAGTTTACATTTATTTCCTTAATACTCTCGACATGCAACTGAGATTCTACAGATCTATTTAAATAAATATTTTATTCTCGTACCTAAAAAAAAAGAGATAACGTTGCAGCGTCTTACTGGACCTGGTTTAAATAGTGTTACACGTACCAAAATAATAAAGCTTCGTGTGGGCGAGTGAGATAATAACTTTTAGAAAAAATAATCGTACAATTTTCTCAGAACGTTAATGATTGTGAAGGAAAATATATTTCTAGTCCGTTTAAAGTAAGCCTCGTTACTCGAGGCTCTCATAATAAGGGGTAGAGTAAAGTACATTACGAATAGTAGTCGGAGATATTCTAGTTGTCGCTAGTGGAAACAGCGTGACGCTTATTACTAACTTGTCTATCCGGCTCATGTTCGCGTTTTCGGGATCCAGACGTAGCTTGCGATGTCAGTGACGGTTCGGCCCTCGAAGACGCTGCCGGTTCCGGAGACTTCAAGCTGCAAGCATGTAAACCAACACGTTTTTGCGTAATACGACAAACCATCAAAAGACGTGGATATTCTACGTGACGACGTTGTTGCGAAACTTTATTGTGCAACGCTTTGATGAAGAGAGGGAAAAAAACAAGACGGTGGAATGTAAGCGAGATAAGCGAGTCATGCTCTGCAATTGAAATTGCTATATTTTTTTGCATGATTTCTGGAAAATAAGAAAATTATATGTGCAAGCGTGTGAATGTGTAAAATTAATGTATCTATTAAAAATGTACGTCTACAAGCGGATATTCTAAAAAATATAATATTAAATATGTATTACGACTATCACAGTCGATAAGTGTTTAGCAATGACAAAGTATATTGTACTATTATGGAAACTGACACTTACGTAAGAATATAATGCAACCTTAATGTACACCTTAATATATTTAAAATGTATTAATATCGCAACTAGGATCGACCATGGATATCGCGCTATTAAATTGGAATTATTCTGTAGTTTAAGCGTAAGAAAAGTATATAACACTTTGTTCTACTTTAATAGAATCACATGGCTTGCATTCCATTCCAAGTATACGATACACATCTCTACGCTTTCTAATATCGAGATGGACATGAGAAATATTACTGGAAACACAAGTGCTTGCGATTACGAATTAATATTGGAAAATGGAATTGATACGAAGGAAAAGAAATGATGTAATGAAGCGCAACGTACTTACGTTGCATAAACGTCACTGGTGTATACTATGCTTTTAACTTATTAATATTTGCGGCTGTACCTGCAATACACACACAAGACGGTATATTCTGTATCAATCTTTACAGACTCACTGTATTATGAATTATGTGTTAGCACATCGTAATTGAAGTAATTAAGATTGCAGCACCGATTAATAATATTGAGAGATGATGTAATGAACACAATACGAAACAAACCACGTCATGAAATTGATTTCGAAAAACTGACAACAATAAATAAGCATAATTTGGCGCTGTGACAACAAATATCTGACATTAGAAGCTTTCTCCAAATCTAATAATGAACGTCCAGCGTTGGGAAAGTTACCTCATAAAAGTATTACAGTTACTTTCTTGCAATGAAAAATAAAAATAGCAAATCTGCATTTGAATTGTAAAGCGTCAATAAAGGCGTTTATGCAGCAAATGCAAAGCCTAACGCAAACTGTGGAGGTTTAAGAAATTTATAAAGTAACTGTTCATGTAACTATTGAATTAGTTACTTCTCAAAAAAATTACTACTGAGTTAAGTTGCAGTTACAGATACAGAGAAAGTAACAAAGTTAGAGTTACCGAAAAAATAAAAAGAAACTATAACTGTAATTTCGTTACAAGTAACGAGTTACTTCCCAACCCTGTGAACATCTCATTGAAAATTGCAATATCAAGTATAAAAGAGTATAAGATATACATTGCTATAATAGAATAATAATATTCTTACAAAATGTCTTAAAGTATTAATGTCTCTCCTGAAATTTATATTACATTAGCGTAAAATTTGACTGCAAAAGTAATATCGCAGTAGCAAATTATAATTATTAGAGATTGAGCGGTCAATTTATCTCGATTTATCAATATTTATCTATGCATCCGATATAAGTGCTGCAATGTAATTTTCTTTCTTGTGATATATGTATAGTACATATGAAACAGATTTGATGCTGTGACAACGTTAAATTATGAAGTGGAATGTACTTGTTTGCTCATTGTATACATTTATGATGAAACGACAGAAATATTAATTTAGCTTCTTCAAGTATGTGTTTTTTATACAAGTTGCAAGTTTTAATCTTTAATGCGATCGATGCAGTTGACAGAAATCAAACTTACCTTGAAGAGGGGGACGAGTTTTTTGTTTTCAAAGGATTTAACGACCTTATAGCACGTCTAGAAGAGGGTATCCATCGTCTACTTGAATGTCGACTACAAAAGTATGGGACAACAAGACAAAGATAAATAAAAAAATGGGAGAAACATTCCAACAAAAGAATAAGTAACAATATAAAGAATGAAATGGCAAGAGCGAAATAATGCTAAGTAGGAAGAATATTTTACAGGTCTAGATTATTCGTTTTCGCAGAGATCAACAAATTAAATTAAATTTTTGTACTTGCAATGAAAATTACGCATAAACAGACAAATTGAGTCTACTTAAATATGAATTTTATATGAAATATAATAATGAATGTGTACATAAAAAGAGAGAAAAATTAAGTAACAATCGATGTTGCAATATCTAAATGCATGCAATGCTCTTACAATGCATATTGAGAAGCAGACATGCACATATTTATTTCAAAGTTGCATACAGAAAGAAGGAATGAGGATATACATATGTGTAATACATATATAAAAAGCGTGGCCACGCCTGATGAAATCCTGTATTTCCATTTATTATTTTCTGGCGTGTCTATCTCCAGTTCTTATATCTGTTGTAGAAATATTATAAAAAAATTTGTCAATAATTTTTATAAAAATATTATTATTAAAGTTTAGTTAGTTTAATCTTACAAATAAAATTGTTATCACATTTAATTTAATATTAAATAAGTTAAACGTCTGCCAAAATGCTTTGTAGGATATTCGATTTTGCACTCAGGTTAATGCAATATGATGAATGTACAACTAGGACTTTAATGTATATTTCAATTATTTTTCATAATGTATCTTCTCTCTTTTTTTAATAACAATATGACTGTGCTGCACATGTGTAAAAAGTAAGGTATTAAGTTAGACGAAAGTGTAGAAAGTGAAGCGAGGAATATACGATATTATGAAGTGTACGATCAATACATGTACCATGCAACGTTATAATTCACCAATACAATAAAACACGAATATACTCTACCTTTGTACAAGAATTTACTCATTGAATGATATATACTTCAACCATTCTCTTGTAAGACACTAACCTGGCTGGTAGATCTGTGGTGGATGGTAAAGCTAATTGCCTCGGCTCTGGATTAACCCTGTTAGTAGCAGCAGCTGAGTGTGCGCCATCAATCGCACCAGCAACGCGACGAGTGCGCGTTTGCCACTCGTGATTGAAACTCTCTGCTTCCTCTACAAGTACGAAAACAATTTACATACAGAAGCAAAATTAACTCCCCCTCTCGACGAACGAGTTTTCGCTATCTTTCAGGCCACAAGAAAATTACCCTCTTCAAGATTAATAAATTCCTGCCGCTCTTCCTCATCGCCGTGCATATTTCGCTCTCGCTCAAGGATGTGTGCCCTCTCGCCAATGTGATGACCAATAGCCATCTTCCTGGTTCCGGTACGAGAATCGCTCATGGTCTTTTTAGTCTCTCTGATGCCGCCGGGTGCCATTCTTGTAGACATGGTCTCCTGATAAACCTGCGGCCGACCATCGGGACCGCTAGACATGGTCATTACCGACTGGCTCATGAACGAATGACAACTTGGAATTTGTCCACCACCCGCCGCCGCCGCCGCTGCCATGTTGTTCTGTAAACGTAACTTGTAAGTTATACTTGTATTACAATTAATGACAATTACACAATTTTACACTGTTCACGGTTGCTTTAATTATTAATAACCTCTGGCCGACTGTCTTCGATTATACTCACAAAATCGTATCTTCCAAAGTGAGGAGCGAACAGAGAAACTGGCAGATTAGTATGGATGTGCGGCATAAGACTGTTCTGGCCTATCATGTCAAACGGATCGGGGAACATGGTGTTCATCATGTTCATCTGCCTCATGGTATTACGCATGGTCGACCTAATAACAAACAACGAATCCAAAATTCCTGTATTTTCACTTTGAATTTTTCAATTGGTACACAACACAGACATCTACATCTTCTTGCGACACGCAGAGGACAAAATAATAAGAGAAAACAAACGACGTGGAGTAGCTCGATCGCTATGGAAACCTATTTTAATCGAAGCAAGATACATCAAGCAGTCTACTTTATGCTGTAAAATTCTTCTTTTCTTTTAATTAAAAGGAGAAAAATAATTCCAGGTAATTGTGGTATCAAGAACCGCCTTATTGCAAAGATAAAGAGGAATTAATCGTTGCGTTAACTTAATGCATTATTTTCACTGGATATCGTCAATGCTAAGTTAGTTCTATAACTGGAAAACACATTTTTAAAAATAATTATACTTCTAATAACTTTAAATAATTTCTTCTCCCTTTTAAGTTTAGAATACAAATTATTGCTTATCACAATGCATAATGTTCCTAACGAATTGTTGGTTAAATCTCGTTCTCGAGGAGAAATCGAATCGGCTTAACGATTTTGTACAAAATATTCCGCGACATAAAAAAGAAGACATACCTACGCTGTGTGTGTGGGTGTGTTCCACACACACACACACACACGCGCACACACACATCGTGTCTACATATCTGACGCTTGGATGTTACTTATTAAGAGGCGATTCGATATTAGACATTTGAGGAAATCTAAACTACGCCTTCATCGATAAGTGGCGCTTAATTTCGAGGCAACGTATTCTGAAATGCCAGCGACGCATCTGACAGGTTCATCAAGAGCCATTGCTCTCCCAAATAGGACTGCGACTACTCGGAAATGACATACATGTATAAATCATCCGTGCGAGATGATGGTGGAACTTACCCGAACATATTGAAGACATCTTCGTCGCCCATGAATCCAAACAGCGACATTTCGTGGGATGCCTTTGGGATGCTCGGGGATTCGAAAAATTCACCTGCACAATCAATAGAAAGTGGATTTTCGTCTCGACGTGCAATGGTAACGCACGAGAACAGCCGAGAGTCGCGAGCGATCGCGAGCGCCTCCTTGCTCTCGTGGAAATTTCCAGAACTAACCCGCGCAGTCAATGGCCGCGCTCAGCAGAAAAGGTTGCGCTTTGCAACCACGTTGTAGAATTCGTGAATCTGATTGGCGTATACTCGTTAATTCGCTCAAGATTTAGAGAATACGCCAATCAGATTCACGAATTTTGCAACAGTTGCAAAGCAGCTTCTTCTGCTGAACGTAGCCAGTGACAAGATATTATAATATATTTACCGGAAAAGCGAATATCCTGTGGCATGTGGAGTAAGGCAATATCGTTTTGAGCCGGTCTGTATAGCGGGTGTACGACGGCTGTAGTCGCAATCATTGACACACCGGGGCCTAAAAGAGTGTTGTATCCAATGCCGGACTTGTCGATGATGCCGAACACCACGAAAAATGTCTGTGAGCGGCTCTGAATACCCATATTTTGTTTAGTACAATTATAAACTAAATTAATTTATAAGTTTATAATTGTACTAAACAAAATATGGGTACTCAGAGCCGCTCATTGCGTAGAGGGGGATCACAGAAATTTTTCGTGGTGTTCGGCATCATCGACAAGTCCGGCATTGGATACATCATTACTGTTTAGCCAAAATATTATTTCGAAATTATAATTGCACTAACAATAATTATATATTATTTTTAAATATACAATTTCATCATATAATTTGACAAATATTTTCCTATTAAAACAGTTAATAATATAATAACGTTTGGTAAGCATTAACTGGAACGTACTCTAAGTAAATTGGTGTTTGGTCGAAACTGCCCGTGGATACGCGATGGGAAAACGATCGGCAAAATGGCGGAACCTTTGGAAAAATTGGTCGTTACACGGGAAAAGGATTTTGTCAAACAAAATATTCTTCGTGCGAAAAGTTCCTATCCGGCAGAGCCCAAATGGCGATCCGTCGATACTCGTCACGGTGACACATATGATTTAAAGAGGAGCGGATTGTTTCCGATATACGTGCATAAAAAAGTACGAGTACATATATGTGCGGAAGCAAGCGCTCTTCGCTTCTATAGTCTTTCGTATTACTTCTCACAGTTTTAAATAATTAGTTTTAACTTTGTGCGACACTATTTTTCAAAAATCTGCGTGTATTTATTCTAGTTGAAAGCAATTGGTCATCTTAAATGAAAGTAACTAAAGTTCAATAAGTAATTAACTTAATAGTATACGTCATTTCAATCGATTATATCCTTCAGAATTATGGAAAAGTACCGAGATTCGTCGCAAAAGCTGACGAGAGGATGGAAACGGAAACAACTGAACGGTTTGACGGGGAGAAGGTGTCAGGAGTATCGGCGTGCCGATACATCGACCAAGAGGAGCGAAGGATACTGCTGGATGTAAGTATCTGTGGGTGCTTTCCAGCAATGTATCGATCAAATTTACATCATGCTTCGATCATGACTTGGTACGATATCAAATTGATAGAATTTTAACTTTTCTCTTCTTGGAAAGGGCCACTTTAATCAAAACCTGATCAAAGTAATTGACGATTAACTTTCAATGTTACGGACAATATTTCTAGCCGCATCCCAGTGAGAAATGATTCGTCGATCGACGTCGAAATGATGTCGAATCGACGTCAATTCGACGGTGTCGATGTCGATTCGACGTCGTTTCGACGTCGATCGACGAATCATTTCTCACTGGGATTTTCTGTCCTTTTATCTACTAAATGCAAAATGTACTTTGAAACAGGGTATGAAGCAAAAGTGGGAGGAAGCGATGAAACGATTCCGAGGGTTACCGTTCCTCGCAGACACCTTGCCGAAGGCGCAGAGGAAGGCGAGGATGGAACGCGAGTTGCAACAACTCGAGAAAGACATAGCGATTGTCGAGCAACATCAGCATATATACGTTTATGATGACACGACGCACAGCATTAACGTGTTTTAACGCCTGTGAATCGACATAATAAAAATCTATATACATGTTGATATTTAAACTTCTGAAATTCTTATATGTAGGAACACGGATTAATGTAATAAATGAGCCCATTTTTTCTGTGTATCATTAAGAAACAATTTCTAGATTTCTCATGTATGTACGTTCTCGTCCTGAAAAGTTTTCGAATTAATTATCGATGTTTGTTGATAATTTTTGTGCAGAATCTACAGTTTAGCAACGTCCAGCGTCGCCAATCCCACACGGCAAAATTCTCTAGCACGTTCACTCAGTTGAGCCAACTTTAAAGGCCTGTGCCCACGATGGCCCAAGTTCTAGTTTCGAGAAATGCGTAGCCAATCAACTTGCAGCTTTCACGAGACCAGGAGGTAAACACCTGCCGCATTGGCGGCATCGATTTCTGCCACGGGCTAAGACGCCGACGTAGAGAGGCGCGATTTCGCGGCCGCCGGCCACGGCTGGAATTGGGCCAATCGCCACGTCCGTTCGCAACGGACGATAATTAACTAGCAAGGGAAAAACGGGCAAAACGTCGATACGACGTTTGCAGCCCCCCCTTTACGACGATTGTGTTCGAGCTCCGCTGAACCTGCCTGCCCCGCTGGAAAATATTGTTGTTCCCGAAGACTTTTGCGACAGACTCGCGAAGCTAGTTCAAAATGGTAATCAAGTGCGCCGCGCGGACACGCCGAGTCCGCACAATTTCCTCCGCGTTCGCGATATCGTCCCGCATTTTTCCGCCGAGCCCCCGACTCTCCCACCGTCGAATACGATCCCCGGAGCGATTTCTACGAGGCATGCTCGCCCCCACGCCAAACGGATATGCTCTAAAAGTCGTTTCTCTTGCAGGGTAACGAGAGTTCGCTGCCTATGGAACTCTGTTCGAACTGTAAGTTGTCGGGATCTGCCCTTGGCTTTTACTGGAATTATCTCCAAGTAACCTGACACGCTTTCGTCAGACGGTGAAACGCGACGAGCGACTCTCTACCTTAGAGATATTTCGTGTATTCCTCGAGCGAAATGTGCTGCATGCGCACAATTCGCAGTACCGTTAGAAAGCGTTGATTAAGATTTTGGAAATTTGCACGGCACTCATCTGATGTTTCATGATATGTAAGTGTACTTTGTTCCTCAGTCGATGTAGACGAAATCAGAAGATTGGGAAAGAGATTTCGGAAGCTGGACTTGGACAACAGCGGGGCCCTCAGCATCGACGAGTTTATGTCCCTACCCGAATTACAACAGAACCCGTTGGTGCAGCGTGTCATCGACATATTTGACGCGGACGGTAACGGAGAGGTAGATTTCAAAGAGTTCATCCACGGCGTATCTCAGTTCAGCGTTAAGGTAACCTGCCCCTTTCTGTGTCAGTTATCGTGCCTTGGTATGCAAACCATTTACGCGTGACGTTAACTCGCAGGGCGACAAGGAGAGCAAATTGCGATTTGCATTTAGAATCTACGATATGGACAACGATGGTTATATAAGTAATGGGGAGCTTTTCCAAGTGCTAAAAATGATGGTAGGCAATAACTTGAAGGACACGCAATTGCAGCAAATTGTCGACAAAACAATACTGTTCGCCGATAAGGATGAGGATGGCAGGATTAGCTTCGAAGAATTTTGTTCGGTGAGTTAATGCGTTGGCGTGTACAAGAAAAAGAAACTAGGAAAAAGTCCCCAATTACGAGATAGGCTTCTGATACGATGGCGATTATATAATGAGATTGTGGGCTTTCAATATCCAATTTCCCAAGTCTTTTTCGCGACGGTTGCACGCGCAATCTAACAATAAATTTTCCACTGAACAGATTTCACAGTAAAGGTGGTAAATTTATGGTGGGATCGACAGACGACTCATATTAATTTTGCAGAAAGCTATCTTGTATTAGTAGACTATATCTGTACGTCTTTTGTGAGGCACATTACACATATTTTAACGACTGTTTCAGGTTGTTGGCAATACAGATATTCATAAGAAAATGGTAGTTGACGTTTAAGTGACCAAAGTTTGTGGAAAAACTCTTAATTTACAAAACATGGTATGTTGATTGAAGTCTATAAATTAATAATCTATTAACAACAGATCTATGGGATAGTTCTAACAGAAATCCGTTTAGAGTGAACTCACACGATTATTGTTCTTAAGCCTTTGATCATTACGAGTCTATCCAAGTGGAAAAAATTTCATGGTATGCCAGATTATACAGCGTGGCACGTGCGAACATTAGATCAACGTTATACAACCATTTTGGTGTCGTTAAAAGTATTATGGAACGAATCAAATTATCTTGCGCGTTCCATTAAAGATAAAAGATCAGCAACGCCGTCTTAAGTACAACCTTTAACTAGCATCTTAAGTTTAATGCTGCTCGATCGCCAACATTTTCTTCGAAAATTCGCGATAAAGTTAGTCTTCTCCAGCGCCAGTCGAAAAGAATTTCGGTACATAGATGCACTTTGTTCCTTTTACTGAATCTCGGTGGAAAAAGCACGAAAGTAAAATCAAATTTTTGCGTCATTGATACAATTGCCATGTCATAAAAACCTATCGAATTTCCGTCATTGTTCAAAAAAATAATTGTTAATATTATCTTTAATGACATTTTAATATCGTTAAAAATTTCATTCGGTAGTCTCGGCGAGTCCTTAAGGATATTACTTTTGTGGGCTAATATCTTAATATATTAATATTCAAATGTATTAATATATTAATATTTTAGGAAAGTTATAAACTTTATAGAATCGACTATTAAGGTGTATTATGTTTATAATAAACAACCACGAATTGTGCATTCGGAAGATACAGCGAGGCAGTTTCTACGGAGTTGTACGGAATACTAATTATTAAGCTGCGAGTTTACTTTGTTAGCTTTTATGTGTACTTGCGTATACAAGCTGTGTACTCCCTGACATTGGATGTGTCAGTTTGTAATTTTCGAATGTACGATTTATTTATTTATTTAGATATTTATTTATTATACGCGCGATTAGTCGGAAAAAATAATTTATCATTATCTTACCAGATATATTAAGATATTTATAATACAAATAAGTTTACTTTATCATTGTTAATTGTTTCTATGTATACTTACATGTTACATGGTCTTATCATATGTCTAATTAAAGTTTAAAATTGTGAAATATATTAAGATTAATCTACTATAAGTACTGCACGTTTCATTTACGATGCCTGTGTAGAATACATATGTTCTTAATGATTTTTGTATTTCAGTCACATTTATATCATTAAATTTATATGCTGTTTTCGAGAATCTGTACTTTGCACATACATGTGCTATATACTCAATATTCCTTTTGTGCGAGAGATTTTTCAACTAGCCGTTTTCTTTTTTGCCCCCCTTTTATTGTTTCGCAGTTTAATGAGTTAAAATTAATGGAAATCAATGTCTATATCGCAACCAGTGTTAGCGATTCCTCTTTGCGCTTGCGCGACATTCGAATGTCAAATGCAACGATGTATACCGTAAATGCTACGCCAAGTTCTAAGGCCGAGTTTCCACGGAGCGCGACGTGCTGGGTGGAAATTCAACGAGGTTAAGAGGATCCCCCAAGGTCGAGGCCTTTGATGGTGTGCGCCATCTAAACACGAAACGCAGCATATACATGAGCACACGGACACACTACTACGATACATCACACCCAGACATAAACACGAAAGTTTAATTCTAGCTATACTCTTATTTTAAACATCTAATCCCAATTTAGAGGGTTTCACAGTAATTCTGCAT